CATAACATATGTGTCATTCCAGATATCTAGACAACGAGGCGTTTAGTATATCTAAGTCCACGCAATCTGTAAGATTACTTCCAATACTATTTATAAGAAGGTGGTCCCTGCTGTACATTAGGCAGAATTACTGTATGCAGCCGCGAGAAGAATTCTCAGGGGGTATATAAGCAAACTCTGATGTGAGTACAATGAAACAGAGAATCCTGTAGGTGGTTGACCCTCCGCCTGTTGCGTCGGATTCGGTAAGCAAATAAGCATGAGTCAGGATAAGGAAAAATATTAATTGTTTTGGATAAAATTGATATTTTATACTTATCCTGACTCATGAGATGAAGCCCTCCCAACAGTCCCCTCTCACCACTCGGGCTTCCCTGTAAGCTTGTGTGGGGGTATATTCGGAGAAAGTGAGGTTTGTGCGTGCACAGGTCACGTGGGTGCTTTTTGGTGGGAAAGGGAGGTGGCTCAGGGTGAGTGATTGTACATTCACTTCTTGGGAATTTTTGAAGGGATTCAAGTTTCCACTAACCGTTCAGAAGAAGGGATAGAGAAAGCAAATAAGCATGAGTCAGGATAAGCGTAAAATATCAATTTTATCATAAAAAGTACATTTCTGTTATTTGTCTGTTATTGATTTATTCTGCTATTAGTCATTTTCCGATCACAATGATATTCACATTATATCACATTAGTTTTAAGGAAGTTTACTTGTGCAGATGTCCATTCTCAGTTCAACTTGATAAGGTGACAAGCTGCGTCGAGGAACTGAAGGGGTGATCTTCTGCCAGAGGCAAGTTGCACTTGAAGTCTATCCAAGTGACTCTCCAGGTTTCGATAGATGCTTTTTTTTGTCGGACAGTTGTTGCCTAATTGATCTGACTGCGTACCAGTCTGTTCACTGTTTCCAATTTCTTTATGGCAATGACGAATTCATAAATGTTCTGACGAGTTTCTTGAAGCCGTTGTGAAAACCCTCCAAATGATTATTGGTTCTGGGTCCTGTATTTTCATGCTGGTTCCAGATACGAGGCGGGGATCTTGGGTATGGAACACTGTAAAAGGAAGCAACAGTGGCAGCGACATCTTCTTCTAGGTTCTGGATCTCTTCATTGAAGATCTGTTGGATGGGTTGTATCTCATCACGAACACGTTGTCTTCAGTCGATACTAGTATCTGTCTTCCTCCTCTATGAGACAAGATGAACTCTGCCCTCTGCAGGTTAGCCATTGTGACTGTCAGTGCTTGTCGAACGCTCCATTTTATAGGGTTAAGTAGGTGTAAAGCCTATTGGTAGCAGAGAACTGAGTATTGTATTATAACCTTGTTTCAACTTCTTAGTGGATGCACCAATCCTCTTTACTCAACTACATATCCTTAAAACAGTGGATCAAGATTAGTATGGCACTGACCAGTGAGTCAGATTCATTATAAGAGTAGGGGTGCATTTTCTAATCCCAATTATAGTTTGGCATGAAATGCATGTGGACCCGTTTTTTTGTAAATATCTCTTCATCCAATGATCCAATCGATCTCAAACTGTGCAAGTGGATGTTTTGTCAGACAACCTAATCACATTGTAAATCACCGATTTTATGCATTTGTATTGAGGAATCTGTCTATGTAACTGTCAACAAAATAAACAGCAGAACGCAGACTGCTTGCAGAGGGAGGGACCTAATTACCTGTAACAGTGGCAGTGTTGGGTCATAAAGGTCAACGTTCGTCAATGTAGGTCAGCTATGCACGTGACAGGTCATGAATAGGGTAAGGTGGGTGCCAACTGTTAACCATCATACGGAGTTTGTTTCTCTGAGTTGTTCAACATTAACCACAAAACCCATTAGTGAGAATTATTCTGTAGGTTAAAATCTTTAAATTTGTAATGTTAATGTCATATTTTGTTTATGCAGTACCTAAGTGGAAATGCATTTAAAGAACACAGAAAGTATATTTACACTAAATCATTAATCGGACCACCTATGGTTAGAACTGAACTGTTCCCTCGGACACAAGCACACACAATCATGCACACTCATTGAAGAAAAGATAGAATAAAGACAAAAGTGTTATGTTTTGATGTCGTACACATTCCAAATTAAGCAATGCATTTCTAATAGCTTTAAGCATATAGATAGTTAATATTTATATTTTCATGATAATTTTATGTGAAATGAGTGTTTCATGTTACACTATAAGTCGTTGGAATTAGTCAGTGCTGTCATTGTTAAAAGAAGTTATATTTCTTTGAGCATATCTGGCTGGATACTATTATTATCTGTAAATATAATAACAGAATTAAACTTCATCAAGTTCACTCCATTCTTCCATAGAGGAGTCATCAGTGTCCAGACGAATGACAACTGGATTAACTGTTTGCTCTTTCAAGCCATCTTTGAGCCAGTACTCTTTCTCCACCTTCTTGACATGTTCAACACATGCATGCCAGCGTGCAATGCCAATGTCACATATAGCAGTGTTGACAATGTGCTTGACATCATTCAACTTGAATGATTGATTTTTCCAGGCCACTGTACTTTTAAGGTCTCCCCAGATAAGTTCGATTGGGTTGAGATCACAGTGGTACGGTGGTAATCTCAAGACCTTATGGCCGTGTTGGCGTAGCATGTTGTCAATGTTATATGTGGGTGGAGGTTTGTTAGGTTTAATCAAAGAGTACAACTGTGGTTTAGTGGCCTTAATTGAAAATTGTATATTGTTATTTGTTAGCCATTGCTGCATATCTGTCTTCTTTGTATTGGAAGTTTGGCACCTATTGTTTGGATCTCTAGGGATAGGAAGCATTGTCCATGACAACAAGACTTTTGTAAGGCAGAGCTGGCAACAATTGTTCCTCAACATACTGTGTGAAAACCGTTGAGTTCATTTCTGTATGATAGTCCCTACCATCTGTGCTCTTTGACCGAAATACCAGATCACACCCAGGTAGGAATCCACGGTGGGAACCAGCATGAAGAACGATTAAACGTTCACCTTTGCCTGTTGGTATTTTCCTACCATCACTGGGATCAGTGGGTAGCCACTGTCTGGCAGCAGTATGGTTTGCATTGATCCAGGTCTCATCCAGATATATAGGTTTGAACCCATCCTCTCTTGCCTGCTTAATTTCTCTCAGATAGTTACACCTTCTTTTCACAATATCAGATCTCTCACACATTACAAGTTTCTGGTTTGCTACCTTCTTGTACTTGTATCCAAATTTGAGCAGTAGTTCGCTTAACATAAACCTAGAAACATTATCGTCGTGATCCTCTGCAAGGACGTGTTTTAACTTTCTTGTGGACAGGTGTTCATTTCTAGCAAATAGCCGGCGAATGACATCTCTGATGACCCTGATGTCAAAAGAATCTAACTTTGGATGCCTACCTTTTTGTACAAGGTTTTGTTTATTGGTTGTTGGTTTATTTTTTCATGCCAAGAGCAAAAGTTGTACGTTTCATGTAATCCGACATCTTATAAATCGGTTTGCTACGTTTGCTCTCTTTTTAAAAAAAATTCCACACATTTCTAATTACACGTTTAGAATCATCTGAATAAGCTTTCATGATGACAGCTAGAAGAAGTCAACGTGAATGATCCAAACGGTCTATCACTGTGCAGTGCACAGGTAACTATCATGAACTGCACATGCATTTACCTTTATGACCCAACACTGCCGCTGTTACAAGTCATTGGCTCCCTCCCTCTGCAAGCAGTCTGCGTTCTGCTGTTTATTTTGTTGACAGTTACATAGACAGATTCTTTAATACAAATGCATAACATCGGTGATTTACAATGTGATTAGGTTGTCTGACAAAACATCCACTTGCACAGTTTGAGATCGATTGGATCATTGGATGAAGAGATATTTACAAAAAAACGGGTCCACATGCATTTCATGCCAAACTATAGCCTACATTGTTTTTGTATGCGAAATGGGATAAAGGTGAATTGAGATGTAGGCGAATAGGGACCGAACCCATGCATTCCATGCCAGGTGAGTTGACGGTCCTTTGTCATACCTGGCTGAGTGACCTAAGTTTTGCCTGATTTTACGAGTAAACATGCTTTTCTGGATATCCTATTACGCATCCCATTGAAGGGCCAGTTAGGCCGATATGGGTTATTTCGACATATGCTATTTGCAATTGTGTAAATTTGAAGTATACAGAGTAACAGCCTAAAAACACTTATTTTTTTCTAATTCCGACAGTACTTTTGTGGGATGTTTTCATAAGAATTATGAAAGAATGTACAGAGTGACATCACACAGCAGTACTCCTGCCACAAACATTGATACAAACTAAACTGATGTACAAAAGAAAGTACACACATGGTAAATAAAAATTTGAAAAGTGTTTTTGATTGTGTACACCACAAATATCCTTTACAGTGTTGTGCATAGGACATCATAAAAATCAAGATTTTGGTCAGTTGCACATGCATAGTGGTATACCTGTTAAAGGATAACATCAAAATGCCAAGATTATCAGCGGGTGAGTGAGAACAAGCCATTGGAATGTCACAGATAGGGGCTTTAGAAAGTTGTATGGACAAAACATTGATTTTGGTAACACATACACAACTGTGTAAGTCACAATTAGAACGCTTTTCAAAATACATTTTTGTTTTGGGGAAAATAATCCCAAAGCACCAGGTGTGTACATTGTTTCATACATCAGTTTAGCTAATCAACAACTCCATCAGAGACCCTTTCTCTTGCAGCAAAATTCTAAAGTGCCCTCCTTCCTCAAGGCAACACTAAAATCATGCCTTGTGTTGTACTTACACATTTTAACATATTAAATGTGTTGATATTGACTTCCTGTTCCTCTGTTGAATATGTTCTTCTACTCAATGGTTTCATTATGCTATTGGATCTTATCTAACGTTATAAAGTACCTGATGCTTGGCACACAACAAACATAAAACCATGAATCTTGGACACAAGACAACTTATGAAAATACAATGTCGTGCCATCATAATCAAAAGTATATCTTACCTTAATTGATTTTGCCCTCTGCATGAGCTCCTTCTCCAAATCATGGTAGGTCATGCCCCTGAAAGCAACTGGTGTCTGATTAGAACCTCTGTTGCATGGTGCTGTGGGCCGGGTCACAAATCCATCAGGGTTGTTCTGGTAAAATTTGATAAGTTCTAAAGGTCCTTGGAATCTCCGTCCATCAGGTATCATGAAAGTTCCATCAACTTGTTTTTCAACTATGTAGTGGTGTACCCTGAAACAATATGCCATGAAGTTATCAGATAAGAAAAAGGTTTGAATATACACCCCATACTGCAATTTGATAAGATAAGATGAGGGAAAACATTCATATCAATATTAAAATCTATTGCACAGAGCCTGCTGTTTAATGGTGCACTCACAAACATTCCTGCAATATGAAGGCATCTGTATATAATCCAAGCTGGGTCAGACGATCCAGTTGTCATATCTTTTGATACGCATGGGGTGCTGAATACCAATGCTAGCTGAGTACTTCTGGCCCTGGTATTCCTGGTCCTGGTGCTCCAGGCATTGGTCCTTCTGACCCTGGTGCTCCTGGCCCTCATTCTCCTGATGGTGGTGCTCCTGGCCCTGGTTCTCCTGGCATTGGTTCTCATGACCCTAGTGATTCTGGTCCTGGTTCTCTGGCCCTGGTCTTCCTGGCATTGGTTCTCATGACCCTGGTGCTCCTGGCCCTCATTCTCCTGACCATGGTGCTCCTGGCCCTGGTTCTCCTGGCATTTGTTTTCCGAGCTGGTGATTCTGGTCCTGGTTCACTGGCCATGGTACTCCTGGCATTGGTCCTTCTGACCCTGGTGCTCCTGGTCCTGGTACTCCTGACCCTGGTTCTCCTTAGCAGTGGTACTCCTGGCATTGGTTCTCCTGGTCCTGGTTCTCTTGACTCTGGTGCTTCTGACCCTGGTGCTTCTGACCCTGGTTCCCCTGGAGTAGTATACACAACAGGGGGTACGGGATCACATCTGACATTAGTCTCTATCTATGAAATGAAGCCTTTGCCAGACCCTTTTCCTTCCCTCCATTGCACCCTACCACTTTTCGTTTGCACCCCAAATTTACTGACCATTATGATCACGTGACCCCATTGCGTCGTAGGGTATGACTCCCTCGGTCACTCAGTTATGTTGATCTCAGTTTAATATATACAATGTCGACTTTTGAGACCCTCATCATGTGTAACCTAACCTTCATCTCACTATGTTTCGTGTGTACAGGGTATTACATTATTAAAATTAAAAATCGCATGATATATTATAGGATGGAGTGCAACGAACTGCTTGAACAACCGATATCCGAGGGTGAAGATACGTCCTCCCGGGTTGATGATAAGCGTGAAAGACTCGTTGCCCTCGTCGTGAGTGGGAAGGGGGAACAATACTTTGGTGGGGACTATACCCCCGATAAAATCCAGATGAGGTCGACAAGCTGTACGTGAGATACGAGTCTAGGCTCGGGACTGAGATGACGGCAACTATAGGGTCGACCATGACTCAGATCTACACCGGCATAGCCTCGTACTTACTTCCCATTCCCCCGGAACGCCGATTTTACTTGTGGGAGGACCTCGAGAAAGACCCGTTCATAGAACACGCCTTGAGCTCTGTCAGCTGCATGCTGTACCACAATTACGGTATGTTTTTAGCGATCATCACGGCGAAGCATTGCCGATTTAATGAGGTAAAAAAATAATAGTAATGTTATACAAGATGGATCAGGAAGTGACTCCGACCCCAGAGGAGGAGGAAACCATGACACAGGAGGAAACACTGACGCAAATCACCAAGAAGGAGAACCCTAAGAGAGTCGCTGCCGGCAGAAAAGGTGGTTTGGCTAAGCATCACAAGAGTAGTAACTATACTCTGTGGATAGCTTTAGGCACAACTGTTGATGCTACTACTCTCTCATTATTCATGCTACGTAGTAAATCCCCAAAGCTAAACCCCACCCCCACCCCCACAGAAACGAGTAGAGGTCAACCCCCATATTATGCTATAATTAAAAATATATTTCTATATCATATACATCATGTCTGAGGGGAAAACGGTCGTTAACGAAGCATACCACGCCACCGTGGTTGCCGGCCTAGCCATCGCATACGTTCGTCTGACCAAGATGGTCCTCAAACAATCGACTATCAAGCTCGATTTCGACCTGCAGGATATGGGCATGCTCATCATGAACCTGGGTATGGCGATGGCCACCAAGGACATCCTCGTGAAATAAGGGATCATACCAGGAAATATTTTGAAGTAAATATAGGTATATATAGGATGGCTTCAATCGCTATGATGGTCGGCGGGGCTTTAGTAAACGCCCTGGCATTTTCCGGTAGCAATTACCTCCTCTCGGAACTACGGGAGTCGAACGCAGCCGAGGTAGAAGCGGAACGAAAACGACACGATATAGCCGTGGAGCAACTGCAGGCTGCAGAAGCTGAGTACGCGAAGAAACGTATGCAGAGACTCGATTTCATTAACGACCAACTCAAGCGTGAAAACCATGCCGTTCGAACGTTCAATGACGTCGATGACGCCACGAAAGAATACTACCTGCTGACCAGCAAACAGCTCGTAACCCTCCGTAAACCTACACACCCTCAGTACTACGCACCCTCCCAGGGGCAAAAGGACCGGGAACTGGCCTTCGTCGTGCTGGGCCTAGCAGCGACTGTGTTAATCGCAAAACAATTAAACTAGGTAACCATATGAGTATACCAAAGATGAGACCAGCTCCGTATCGGTGTCAGTATGTGCTTATGGGGAAAGCCGAGATTTGTGGTTGGAAATGCAGGACTGAAGGGTACTGTTGTTTTTTACATGAGGAGTATAAGAAATGGTTTCGTTAACTACACGTGCTCTGTATGTGGTATTGGAGTGAAATGCCACTACTGCCTATGTAAAGCCAACGGGGCAAACGTAGTCCAGCACCAGTTTATCTACGAGAAGAAAAAGGACTACATAAACGAATGTAGGCGCCTCCTATGGATGGAGACCTAATTAGAAATTGTGTACACCTAGGTATAATGATGAGTACCACCCAAGAGCCTGCGTTCGTGCGAACTACTATAACCCCAGAAGGTTACCTGAAAAGCTGGCGGATGAACAAAGCTGAAAGCATACCCATCACCGGCATCAAACCTCTGATCAACGGTATACTCGAAGAGGAACTGAATGACCTGGGACGCTTCCAATTTCGGTTCACACTGAGAATGGTATGGGATGAGGTATGGGTTAAGGGAGGCGCCAGATATACTTCCCCTATCACAGGTGGGCGAAAAATCACGACTCAACTTGAGCTGGAAAAGTACCTCAACACCTCATTACGAAGCATACAAGAACACCTGGAACACTTACCCCTGGTTGGGTACAGAATCAAATACGGTTCCTGCGGACTGAACACGCTATAGGTAACTACCTGAGGGGCTGGCGGATGAATGTAGACCAAAACATAGACATCGACGTCAAACTCCTGATCGCTGGCAAAGTCATCAAGGAACTGACTGACCTGGGGAGCCTCAAATTCCAAATCACGATGAAAGCGTGGCTCAATAAACAGCAGGCGGACGGCAGCACAGAGTACGTTAAGCCTTACTTCACGGGTAAACAAGAAGTCGCGACTCAACCCGAGACGGTAGACGAGTCCATCGACACCTCGCTTCAGCAAATACGAGAATACCTGGAACGCTACACGCACAGGGGTTCCGGATGGGCCGTGGACAAAATTGATAAGGTCTACCTGGACATAGATCACTACATGCCGTTCAGAGGACTTCCCCCCCCCCCCTACTACAAAAAAACCAAGCCATGGTCAACATCAAAAACAGAGGCCATAACTGCAAGAGGTTAGCAATCAGATCTGCCTTGTTTCCGGTCAACGTTAATTCGAACAGTCCTTCGAGCTATCCCGAAGACGACTGACTGAACTGGGACGGTATAGACGAACCCACACCCATATCTCAGGTCACCAAAATCGAGAAACAGAACACCCACATAGCTATCAACGTCTTTGGGCACGAAGGTAACAAAAAGATCGTGCACAGGATCAGCCCAGTGGCCGAGGGCCACATGGTAATCAATATATTCATGATCCAGCGAGGTGACAAGTACCACTATGCGTGGATAAAACTCTTCAGCAGGCTGTTGTACGACCAATCGAAATACAGAGAGAAAAAACACTTCTGCGAACGGTGCCTGCACGGCTTCACCCGGGCCGACCTGCTGGAATCACACCGAGAGGATTGCCTAGGCGTGGGGCAGACGGCCATACGAATCGACATGCCCAAGGAAGGCGACAACACCCTAAAATTCGGCAACCACAAGAACCAGATGCCCGTACCTTACATCATCTACACCGACTTCGAAGCCCTCATCAAACACATCTGACATCACTATCGAGCCGTCCACAGACAAAAGCTTCACTCATAAAACACAGGGCAACGAGGCCTGTGGGTTCGGGTACGTGGTTGTCCAATGTGATGGGAAAACGAACGCTCCCGTGGTGTACAGAGGTCCCGATGTGGCTGAAAAGTTCCTAAAGTGTTTGCAACAGGAAGAGAAAACCATCAGGAAAATGCTGCGTACCGCCGGTCCCATGCGTATGGCCCAAGCCGACCGGCGAGCACATGACATTAGCACTCACTGTCACGTATGTGACTCACCCCTGAACGGCGATTCGGTGAGAGATCACTGTCACATTACCGGTGAGTACAGAGGCGCAGCCCACAACGCGTGCAACCTCAAGCTCAGAATCAACCCTAAAACAATCAACATCCCCGTGAACTTCGTCCCAACTTGAAAGGGTACGATTCCCACTTGATCATGCAGGCCATCGCGAGGGTCGACAGCAAACCTGACATGCATCCCCAACAGCATGGAGAGATACATCTCCTTCTCCCTGAACGGCCTGAGGTTCATCGACTCATTTCAGTTCCTGCTGTTGTCCCTCGACAGTTTGGTCGAGGCCCATAACGTGTGGGAGGAACTGGGCTGCAGGAACCTGGGTGATTACCATGACCTGTACTTGAGAACGGATGTGCTCCTGCTGGCCGACGTGTTCGAGACATTCAGGAGGATGTGCTTCAAGCAGTATCAACTCGACCCCGCATGGTACTACACCAGCCCAAGTCTCTCTTGGGATGCCTTGCTGAAAAAGACCGGAGTCAAACTAGAACTCCTCACCGATTACGACATGCACCTGTTCATCGAGAAAGGCTTG